GAAAGCTGGAGATACTAGAATGACATGGGAGTAGATGAAGAAAGATGGGGATACTAGAATGACATGGGAGCAGATGAAGAAAGATGGAGATACTAGAATGACATGGGAGCAGATGAAGAAAGCTGGAGATAATGAAATGACATGGGAGCAGATGAAGAAAGCTGGGGATACTGGAATGACATAGGAGCAGATGAAGAAAGCTGGAGATACTAGAATGACATGGGAGCAGATGAAGAAATCTGGAGATACTAGAATGCCATGGGAGCAGATGAAGAAAGCTGAGGATACTAGAATGACATGGGAGCAGATGAAGAAAGCTGAGGAAACTAGAATGACATGGGAGCAGATGAAGAAAGCTAGAGATACTAGAATGACATGGGAGCAGATGAAGAAAGCTGGAGATACTAGAATGACATGGGAGCAGATGAAGAAAGCTGGGGATACTGGAATGACATAGGAGCAGATGAAGAAAGCTGGAGATACTAGAATGACATGGGAGCAGATGAAGAAAGCTGGAGATACTAGAATGCCATGGGAGCAGATGAAGAAAGCTGGGGATACTGGAATGACATGGGAGCAGATGAAGAAAGATGGAGATACTAGAATGACATGGGAGCAGATGAAGAAAGCTGGAGATACTAGAATGACATGGGAGCAGATGAAGAAAGCTGGGGATACTGGAATGACATAGGAGCAGATGAAGAAAGCTGAGGATACTAGAATGACATTGGAGCAGATGAAGAAAGCTGAGGATACTAGAATGACATGGGAGCAGATGAAGAAAGCTGAGGATACTAGAATGACATGGGAGCAGATGAAGAAGGCTGAGGATACTAGAATGACATGGGAGCAGATGAAGAAAGCTGGAGATACTAGAATGACATGGGAGCAGATGAAGAAAGCTGAGGATACTGGAATGACATGGGAGCAGATGAAGAAATCTGGAGATACTAGAATGACATGGGAGCAGATGAAGAAAGCTGAGGATACTGGAATGACATGGGAGCAGATGAAGAAAGCTGGAGATACTAGAATGACATGGGAGCAGATAAAGAAAGCTGGGGATACTGGAATGACATAGAAGCAGATGAAGAAAGCTGGAGATACTAGAATGACATGGGAGTAGATGAAGAAAGATGGGGATACTAGAATGACATGGGAGCAGATGAAGAAAGATGGAGATACTAGAATGACATGGGAGCAGATGAAGAAAGCTGGAGATAATGAAATGACATGGGAGCAGATGAAGAAAGCTGGGGATACTGGAATGACATAGGAGCAGATGAAGAAAGCTGGAGATACTAGAATGACATGGGAGCAGATGAAGAAAGCTGGAGATACTAGAATGCCATGGGAGCAGATGAAGAAAGCTGAGGATACTAGAATGACATGGGAGCAGATGAAGAAAGCTGAGGAAACTAGAATGACATGGGAGCAGATGAAGAAAGCTAGAGATACTAGAATGACATGGGAGCAGATGAAGAAAGCTGAGGATACTGGAATGACATGGGAGCAGATGAAGAAAGCTGAGGATACTGGAATGACATGGGAGCAGATGAAGAAAGCTGGGGATACTGGAATGACATAGGAGCAGATGAAGAAAGCTGAGGATACTAGAATGACATTGGAGCAGATGAAGAAAGCTGTGGATACTAGAATGACATGGGAGCAGATGAAGAAAGCTGAGGATACTAGAATGACATGGGAGCAGATGAAGAAAGCTGAGGATACTAGAATGACATGGGAGCAGATGAAGAAAGCTGGAGATACTAGAATGACATGGGAGCAGATGAAGAAAGCTGAGGATACTGGAATGACATGGGAGCAGATGAAGAAATCTGGAGATACTAGAATGACATGGGAGCAGATGAAGAAAGCTGAGGATACTGGAATGACATGGGAGCAGATGAAGAAAGCTGGAGATACTAGAATGACATGGGAGCAGATGAAGAAAGCTGGGGATACTGGAATGACATAGGAGCAGATGAAGAAAGCTGGAGATACTAGAATGACATGGGAGTAGATGAAGAAAGATGGGGATACTAGAATGACATGGGAGCAGATGAAGAAAGATGGAGATACTAGAATGACATGGGAGCAGATGAAGAAAGCTGGAGATAATGAAATGACATGGGAGCAGATGAAGAAAGCTGGGGATACTGGAATGACATAGGAGCAGATGAAGAAAGCTGGAGATACTAGAATGACATGGGAGCAGATGAAGAAAGCTGGAGATACTAGAATGCCATGGGAGCAGATGAAGAAAGCTGAGGATACTAGAATGACATGGGAGCAGATGAAGAAAGCTGAGGAAACTAGAATGACATGGGAGCAGATGAAGAAAGCTAGAGATACTAGAATGACATGGGAGCAGATGAAGAAAGCTGAGGATACTGGAATGACATGGGAGCAGATGAAGAAAGCTGAGGATACTGGAATGACATGGGAGCAGATGAAGAAAGCTGGAGATACTAGAATGACATGGGAGCAGATGAAGAAAGCTGGAGATACTAGAATGACATGGGAGCAGATGAAGAAAGCTGGAGATACTAGAATGACATGGGAGCAGATGAAGAAAGCTGGGGATACTGGAATGACATAGGAGCAGATGAAGAAAGCTGGAGATACTGGAATGACATGGGAGCAGATGAAGAAAGCTGGAGATACTAGAATGACATGGGAGCAGATGAAGAAAGCTGGAGATACTAGAATGACATGGGAGCAGATGAAGAAAGCTGGAGATACTAGAATGACATGGGAGCAGATGAAGAAAGCTGGAGATACTAGAATGCCATGGGAGCAGATGAAGAAAGCTGGGGATACTGGAATGACATAGGAGCAGATGAAGAAAGCTGGAGATACTAGAATGACATGGGAGCAGATGAAGAAAGCTGGAGATACTAGAATGACATGGGAGCAGATGAAGAAAGCTGGAGTACTGGAATGACATAGGAGCAGATGAAGAAAGCTGGAGATACTAGAATGACATGGGAGCAGATGAAGAAAGATGGAGATACTAGAATGACATGGGAGCAGATGAAGAAAGCTGGAGATACTAGAATGACATGGGAGCAGATGAAGAAAGCTGGGGATACTGAAATGACATAGGAGCAGATGAAGAAAGCTGGAGATACTAGAATGACATGGGAGCAGATGAAGAAAGATGGAGATACTAGAATGACATGGGAGCAGATGAAGAAAGATGGAGATACTAGAATGACATGGGAGCAGATGAAGAAAGCTGGAGATAATGAAATGACATGGGAGCAGATGAAGAAAGCTGGGGATACTGGAATGACATAGGAGCAGATGAAGAAAGCTGGAGATACTAGAATGACATGGGAGCAGATGAAGAAAGCTGGAGATACTAGAATGCAATGGGAGCAGATGAAGAAAGCTGGGGATACTGGAATGACATGGGAGCAGATGAAGAAAGATGGAGATACTAGAATGACATGGGAGCAGATGAAGAAAGCTGGAGATACTAGAATGACATGGGAGCAGATGAAGAAAGCTGGGGATACTGGAATGACATAGGAGCAGATGAAGAAAGCTGAGGATACTAGAATGACATTGGAGCAGATGAAGAAAGCTGAGGATACTAGAATGACATGGGAGCAGATGAAGAAAGCTGAGGATACTAGAATGACATGGGAGCAGATAAAGAAAGCTGAGGATACTAGAATGACATGGGAGCAGATGAAGAAAGCTGGAGATACTAGAATGACATGGGAGCAGATTAAGAAAGCTGAGGATACTGGAATGACATGGGAGCAGATGAAGAAATCTGGAGATACTAGAATGACATGGGAGCAGATGAAGAAAGCTGAGGATACTGGAATGACATGGGAGCAGATGAAGAAAGCTGGAGATACTAGAATGACATGGGAGCAGATGAAGAAAGCTGGGGATACTGGAATGACATAGGAGCAGATGAAGAAAGCTGGAGATACTAGAATGACATGGGAGTAGATGAAGAAAGATGGGGATACTAGAATGACATGGGAGCAGATGAAGAAAGATGGAGATACTAGAATGACATGGGAGCAGATGAAGAAAGCTGGAGATAATGAAATGACATGGGAGCAGATGAAGAAAGCTGGGGATACTGGAATGACATAGGAGCAGATGAAGAAAGCTGGAGATACTAGAATGACATGGGAGCAGATGAAGAAAGCTGGAGATACTAGAATGCCATGGGAGCAGATGAAGAAAGCTGAGGATACTAGAATGACATGGGAGCAGATGAAGAAAGCTGAGGAAACTAGAATGACATGGGAGCAGATGAAGAAAGCTAGAGATACTAGAATGACATGGGAGCAGATGAAGAAAGCTGAGGATACTGGAATGACATGGGAGCAGATGAAGAAAGCTGGGGATACTGGAATGACATAGGAGCAGATGAAGAAAGCTGGAGATACTAGAATGACATGGGAGCAGATGAAGAAAGCTGGAGATACTTGAATGCCATGGGAGCAGATGAAGAAAGCTGGGGATACTGGAATGACATGGGAGCAGATGAAGAAAGATGGAGATACTAGAATGACATGGGAGCAGATGAAGAAAGCTGGAGATACTAGAATGACATGGGAGCAGATGAAGAAAGCTGGGGATACTGGAATGACATAGGAGCAGATGAAGAAAGCTGAGGATACTAGAATGACATTGGAGCAGATGAAGAAAGCTGAGGATACTAGAATGACATGGGAGCAGATGAAGAAAGCTGAGGATACTAGAATGACATGGGAGCAGATGAAGAAAGCTGGAGATACTAGAATGACATGGGAGCAGATGAAGAAAGCTGAGGATACTGGAATGACATGGGAGCAGATGTAGAAATCTGGAGATACTAGAATGACATGGGAGCAGATGAAGAAAGCTGAGGATACTGGAATGACATGGGAGCAGATGAAGAAAGCTGGAGATACTAGAATGACATGGGAGCAGATGAAGAAAGCTGGGGATACTGGAATGACATAGGAGCAGATGAAGAAAGCTGGAGATACTAGAATGACATGGGAGTAGATGAAGAAAGATGGGGATACTAGAATGACATGGGAGCAGATGAAGAAAGATGGAGATACTAGAATGACATGGGAGCAGATGAAGAAAGCTGGAGATAATGAAATGACATGGGAGCAGATGAAGAAAGCTGGGGATACTGGAATGACATAGGAGCAGATGAAGAAAGCTGGAGATACTAGAATGACATGGGAGCAGATGAAGAAAGCTGGAGATACTAGAAGGACATGGGAGCAGATGAAGAAAGATGGAGATACTAGAATGACATGGGAGCAGATGAAGAAAGCTGGAGATACTAGAATGCCATGGGAGCAGATGAAGAAAGCTGGGGATACTGGAATGACATGGGAGCAGATGAAGAAAGATGGAGATACTAGAATGACATGGGAGCAGATGAAGAAAGCTGGAGATACTAGAATGACATGGGAGCAGATGAAGAAAGCTGGGGATACTGGAATGACATAGGAGCAGATGAAGAAAGCTGAGGATACTAGAATGACATTGGAGCAGATGAAGAAAGCTGAGGATACTAGAATGACATGGGAGCAGATGAAGAAAGCTGAGGATACTAGAATGACATGGGAGCAGATGAAGAAAGCTGAGGATACTAGAATGACATGGGAGCAGATGAAGAAAGCTGGAGATACTAGAATGACATGGGAGCAGATGAAGAAAGCTGAGGATACTGGAATGACATGGGAGCAGATGAAGAAATCTGGAGATACTAGAATGACATGGGAGCAGATGAAGAAAGCTGAGGATACTGGAATGACATGGGAGCAGATGAAGAAAGCTGGAGATACTAGAATGACATGGGAGCAGATGAAGAAAGCTGGGAATACTGGAATGACATAGGAGCAGATGAAGAAAGCTGGAGATACTAGAATGACATGGGAGTAGATGAAGAAAGATGGGGATACTAGAATGACATGGGAGCAGATGAAGAAAGATGGAGATACTAGAATGACATGGGAGCAGATGAAGAAAGCTGGAGATAATGAAATGACATGGGAGCAGATGAAGAAAGCTGGGGATACTGGAATGACATAGGAGCAGATGAAGAAAGCTGGAGATACTAGAATGACATGGGAGCAGATGAAGAAAGCTGGAGATACTAGAATGCCATGGGAGCAGATGAAGAAAGCTGGAGATAATGAAATGACATGGGAGCAGATGAAGAAAGCTGGGGATACTGGAATGACATAGGAGCAGATGAAGAAAGCTGGAGATACTAGAATGACATGGGAGCAGATGAAGAAAGCTGGAGATACTAGAATGCCATGGGAGCAGATGAAGAAAGCTGAGGATACTAGAATGACATGGGAGCAGATGAAGAAAGCTGAGGAAACTAGAATGACATGGGAGCAGATGAAGAAAGCTAGAGATACTAGAATGACATGGGAGCAGATGAAGAAAGCTGGAGTACTGGAATGACATGGGAGCAGATGAAGAAAGCTGGGGATACTGGAATGACATAGGAGCAGATGAAGAAAGCTGGAGATACTAGAATGACATGGGAGCAGATGAAGAAAGCTGGAGATACTAGAATGCAATGGGAGCAGATGAAGAAAGCTGGGGATACTGGAATGACATGGGAGCAGATGAAGAAAGATGGAGATACTAGAATGACATGGGAGCAGATGAAGAAAGCTGGAGATACTAGAATGACATGGGAGCAGATGAAGAAAGCTGGGGATACTGGAATGACATAGGAGCAGATGAAGAAAGCTGAGGATACTAGAATGACATTGGAGCAGATGAAGAAAGCTAGAGATACTAGAATGACATGGGAGCAGATGAAGAAAGCTGAGGATACTGGAATGACATGGGAGCAGATGAAGAAAGCTGAGGATACTGGAATGACATGGGAGCAGATGAAGAAAGCTGGAGATACTAGAATGACATGGGAGTAGATGAAGAAAGATGGGGATACTAGAATGACATGGGAGCAGATGAAGAAAGATGGAGATACTAGAATGACATGGGAGCAGATGAAGAAAGCTGGAGATAATGAAATGACATGGGAGCAGATGAAGAAAGCTGGGGATACTGGAATGACATAGGAGCAGATGAAGAAAGCTGGAGATACTAGAATGACATGGGAGCAGATGAAGAAAGCTGGAGATACTAGAATGCCATGGGAGCAGATGAAGAAAGCTGAGGATACTAGAATGACATGGGAGCAGATGAAGAAAGCTGAGGAAACTAGAATGACATGGGAGCAGATGAAGAAAGCTAGAGATACTAGAATGACATGGGAGCAGATGAAGAAAGCTGAGGATACTGGAATGACATGGGAGCAGATGAAGAAAGCTGAGGATACTGGAATGACATGGGAGCAGATGAAGAAAGCTGGAGATACTAGAATGACATGGGAGCAGATGAAGAAAGCTGGAGATACTAGAATGCCATGGGAGCAGATGAAGAAAGCTGGGGATACTGGAATGACATAGGAGCAGATGAAGAAAGCTGGAGATACTAGAATGACATGGGAGCAGATGAAGAAAGCTGGAGATACTAGAATGACATGGGAGCAGATGAAGAAAGCTGGGGATACTGGAATGACATAGGAGCAGATGAAGAAAGCTGGAGTTACTAGAATGACATGGGAGCAGATGAAGAAAGATGGAGATACTAGAATGACATGGGAGCAGATGAAGAAAGCTGGAGATAATGAAATGACATGGGAGCAGATGAAGAAAGCTGGGGATACTGGAATGACATAGGAGCAGATGAAGAAAGCTGGAGATACTAGAATGACATGGGAGCAGATGAAGAAAGCTGGGGATACTGGAATGACATAGGAGCAGATGAAGAAAGCTGGAGATACTAGAATGACATGGGAGCAGATGAAGAAAGCTGGAGATACTAGAATGACATGGGAGCAGATGAAGAAAGCTGGAGTACTGGAATGACATAGGAGCAGATAAAGAAAGCTGGAGATACTAGAATGACATGGGAGCAGATGAAGAAAGATGGAGATACTAGAATGACATGGGAGCAGATGAAGAAAGCTGGAGATACTAGAATGACATGGGAGCAGATGAAGAAAGCTGGGGATACTGAAATGACATAGGAGCAGATGAAGAAAGCTGGAGATACTAGAATGACATGGGAGCAGATGAAGAAAGATGGAGATACTAGAATGACATGGGAGCAGATGAAGAAAGATGGAGATACTAGAATGACATGGGAGCAGATGAAGAAAGCTGGAGATAATGAAATGACATGGGAGCAGATGAAGAAAGCTGGGGATACTGGAATGACATAGGAGCAGATGAAGAAAGCTGGAGATACTAGAATGACATGGGAGCAGATGAAGAAAGCTGGAGATACTAGAATGCAATGGGAGCAGATGAAGAAAGCTGGGGATACTGGAATGACATGGGAGCAGATGAAGAAAGATGGAGATACTAGAATGACATGGGAGCAGATGAAGAAAGCTGGAGATACTAGAATGACATGGGAGCAGATGACGAAAGCTGGGGATACTGGAATGACATAGGAGCAGATGAAGAAAGCTGAGGATACTAGAATGACATTGGAGCAGATGAAGAAAGCTGAGGATACTAGAATGACATGGGAGCAGATGAAGAAAGCTGAGGATACTAGAATGACATGGGAGCAGATAAAGAAAGCTGAGGATACTAGAATGACATGGAAGCAGATGAAGAAAGCTGGAGATACTAGAATGACATGGGAGCAGATGAAGAAAGCTGAGGATACTGGAATGACATGGGAGCAGATGAAGAAATCTGGAGATACTAGAATGACATGGGAGCAGATGAAGAAAGCTGAGGATACTGGAATGACATGGGAGCAGATGAAGAAAGCTGGAGATACTAGAATGACATGGGAGCAGATGAAGAAAGCTGGGGATACTGGAATGACATAGGAGCAGATGAAGAAAGCTGGAGATACTAGAATGACATGGGAGTAGATGAAGAAAGATGGGGATACTAGAATGACATGGGAGCAGATGAAGAAAGATGGAGATACTAGAATGACATAGGAGCAGATGAAGAAAGCTGGAGATAATGAAATGACATGGGAGCAGATGAAGAAAGCTGGGGATACTGGAATGACATAGGAGCAGATGAAGAAAGCTGGAGATACTAGAATGACATGGGAGCAGATGAAGAAAGCTGGAGATACTAGAATGACATGGGAGCAGATGAAGAAAGATGGAGATACTAGAATGACATGGGAGCAGATGAAGAAAGCTGGAGATACTAGAATGCCATGGGAGCAGATGAAGAAAGCTGAGGATACTAGAATGACATGGGAGCAGATGAAGAAAGCTGAGGAAACTAGAATGACATGGGAGCAGATGAAGAAAGCTAGAGATACTAGAATGACATGGGAGCAGATGAAGAAAGCTGAGGATACTGGAATGACATGGGAGCAGATGAAGAAAGCTGAGGATACTGGAATGACATGGGAGCAGATGAAGAAAGCTGGAGATACTAGAATGACATGGGAGCAGATGAAGAAAGCTGGAGATACTAGAATGCCATGGGAGCAGATGAAGAAAGCTGGGGATACTGGAATGACATAGGAGCAGATGAAGAAAGCTGGAGATACTAGAATGACATGGGAGCAGATGAAGAAAGCTGGAGATACTAGAATGACATGGGAGCAGATGAAGAAAGCTGGGGATACTGGAATGACATAGGAGCAGATGAAGAAAGCTGGAGTTACTAGAATGACATGGGAGCAGATGAAGAAAGATGGAGATACTAGAATGACATGGGAGCAGATGAAGAAAGCTGGAGATAATGAAATGACATGGGAGCAGATGAAGAAAGCTGGGGATACTGGAATGACATAGGAGCAGATGAAGAAAGCTGGAGATACTAGAATGACATGGGAGCAGATGAAGAAAGCTGGGGATACTGGAATGACATAGGAGCAGATGAAGAAAGCTGGAGATACTAGAATGACATGGGAGCAGATGAAGAAAGCTGGAGATACTAGAATGACATGGGAGCAGATGAAGAAAGCTGGAGTACTGGAATGACATAGGAGCAGATGAAGAAAGCTGGAGATACTAGAATGACATGGGAGCAGATGAAGAAAGATGGAGATACTAGAATGACATGGGAGCAGATGAAGAAAGCTGGAGATACTAGAATGACATGGGAGCAGATGAAGAAAGCTGGGGATACTGAAATGACATAGGAGCAGATGAAGAAAGCTGGAGATACTAGAATGACATGTGAGCAGATGAAGAAAGATGGAGATACTAGAATGACATGGGAGCAGATGAAGAAAGATGGAGATACTAG